ACAAACCAAACACTGGCTCCAGACAGGGTGTTTTGCTTTTTTACATCTAGAACCCTAAATACTGGACCTTTAAGGCATTATAATCATTAAATCCACAGTATGTCACTTTTCTAGACCTAAAATAACATCTTAAAAAACATTTTGCTACACTAGGTTCTAATTGGGTGAATGGTGCCAGTGTCATTCCCACTCGGTGCCCTGTACTTTTAACTTTGTGCTCGGAGTCGGTGCATAATGCTTTACTCGAGTAGTCACACACCACTAACCATGTTACTGATGTTGGTGAAACTGGATCATATTTTATGGAGAAAATGTTTTCTGTTTTTGTCTCTCTGATGTCTTCCAGCTGCTCCGCCTCAGATCTCTGTGATTTATAGAGTTTCCTGATGGACAGCAAAGTAACTGCTGTGAAATTCAGTAGCCAGTTAGCTTAGCCGTACTGCCCAGTACTGCACTTGCTTGATGTTTGACTGTGCTAGTTTTTGATCAATCATAAGTAATGTGATAATAACAGATGCATGTGAACAGTTGTCCATATTTACGATAGCAGTATTGCTAGTGGGGGCACCAAATTGCAAAAATACCAAATCTAACATAATGTTGCTTTTATGTAGCTCCTTCAAAACTTTTGCTAGCTAACTACCTATCAAGATAAATAAATCAAATATGTCAAGTCAAATAAGTTTATTGAGCACAGAATATAGTTTGTTTGCCAAAATGAAATTATTCTTTGTTTGATAATAATTTCTCAACAAAACATTTATGTACTTGCTACATTTCCCACAGATAATGCATGCAGTCAAGGTGTGAAAGTTAAGTTGATTGTACTGCAAAGACAATATTTGAGATGATCCAGGCTTGTGCAGAATGATCACTGGACAATGTATGCCGGTTGGCTTTGTATCCAACTTGATGCCGACTTGCTCTGATGTCATGAACATGTGGGCTACGATAACCTCACAAGATCAAGATGGCCACTTTTTAGAGCTAGGCCACTCCACTGACTGAGACCCAGGGCATGATGGGAAACACCTGGCTGTTGCCTGATTAA